TTATGACCTATTGGCCAACTATAGGTTATGACCTTATGACCTGTTATGACTTATAAAATTTACTATTATATTATGACCACTTTGGTCATATAAAGTTGAATATGACCCAAAATGGCCAACACTGCTCACATTAGTGCATATACATACTGGTACATCATCAATCATAAAACCAGCATGTTTATTTATTATCTTGCTAGAAATGTCTTCTTTAATAAGGATCGCTCTTGGTGCTTCCAAATTTAAAATAGTGTTAATTTCATTATCTAAGGAGATGGTTGCTAAGCATAACTGGCTATTGAAAGTAACAGTGACAACTTTTCCTTCAGTTGCTTTTCAAATTAGGTTGATCAAATTTTTTATAATTTCTTTACTTTCTACAATTTTGATCATTATTTTTTAATAACACAGTAGTCAAGAATGTTTGAAAAGATAAATATGTCAAAAGCCTGAAATTCTTGTTATAATTTCCCTACGTTGCTTATATTAATATATAATGATCTTATTATAAATTTACGTATACATATTCATCAAAAATGTAATGACATTGATACATGAAAATGAATTCTCGAGTTATATACGATAAAAAAATGAAAAACTAGCAAACGCACTGGAATTTAAATTGAGATTTAATCACGTGAAAGACAATAAGATTGGCAAGCCACGTAAGTTTATATCGATATTGCATTGCCTGAAGTAAAGTATGGCGTCGTAATTCAAATTATGATATGTAGTAATGTAGTAATTATTTACTACAAAAGTAGTAATTGTAATTATATTTACTACATTATAAAACTTTATTTTTAGATTTATTATACTATTATTTTAGTCAATGAGATAATAAAAAGAAATTGTGATATATGATTAAATCACAATTCTAAAGGGGCTAAGCTCGCTGAAGTAAAAACTATACAGTAATTATTATACATATTAGTTTGAAAAAGAATCGTTATTTTGCTAATTGATCACATGATTTATACATAACTCAATGCTAAGCTCCCATTCTCTAATATCAAAAAAAAATCAGGAATTAATCTATACAATATTTCCAGTTGCAACTAATCGATTGAAAAAATTTTGACGATTTGTAACACTAACCTATACTGTAAAAATAAAATAATAATATAATCAAATATACGCGTTCTATATCGTTATACTGTACTAAAATATTTTAGACATATTAAAATATTTTAGACACCCTAAAATATATTCGACAGTCTGAATTATTTAGACAACCTAAATTATTTACGATTTAGGCAATCTAAAAGAATTTAGCCATTTAAATTTACGCCAATGCAAAATAATTTAGCCCCTATAGATACTGGTAACCTCGGTTTTTAGTATATAACACATTAATGAAAAGCATTTGTTACGATACAAAATAGAAATAAGGAAATTTTGTTAAATTTCCATTTCTGGCAAAACAACGTCCGACCAATCAGATTAATTATAAGCCGAACAGACAGACATATATAACTAGGGATGGGACACTGCGCAGAAGTTTTGAGAAACTGCGCAATGTGATTTTTAAAATTCAGGCCAGCTAGCATAATTCTGGCCAGCTAGTATAATTCTGGTCGGCTTGAATAATGCTGCAGGCTGCGCAGTGGATTCAAAAAATTCTCAATTCAATTGAATAATAGCTAGTCATTATCAATTAATTTTTTTAATTGATCAACTATAAGTCTTTCCAATTTCCAACATTTTTACGAACTGTTCAAGAAATGAAATATATCCAAATAAAAAGAAAATTTATTATTATTATTATAATATCATATTATTAATGGTCCTATTACTAATGAACGTTCTTATTTTATTCTAGCTTTAAATGAACCTAATATTACTGGTTGTAAATAAAGTGAGTATATCGAACACCCCAACGCTACCACAAAGAATTGCAATCAAAAATTCAATTATGATATTAAACAACAACGCTATAATGTAAGTCTATCGCATTAAAAATTTGGTTTGTTTAATATTATTTTCAATCTCAATCACATTTCTTTATTAGCTAGTACATCTTTCATCAAACAATAATGATAATTTGCAAGTACAGTAATCATGGAGGTGATTCTCTGATAGTTCTCCTATCACGGTATCTCACGACCACCAATAATTTCAATAAAAATTTTTATTTTAAAACTTTGAGTGATGCTTTCACGTAGTTCCGCAGAAATGATCCGAATGGATCCGGTATTTTTGGTGGGTATAAATTTAGCATTTTACGAAGGATACCAGAACTGAAACTGCACGTATAATTAATATGAAATAAATGGCAATTATTTGATTAAATTTCTTAGCTTATTGATTATTTCTCTTATGAAATCTTAATTGCTCGGTATCACAATGAGGTACAACGCTTAATTTTTATTGCTGGCACACTAATAATTATAGTAAATTTACAACTACTTAAGGAGTATTATATGTTTTAATAGGCTTGACTATCACTTCGCTGCTATCTCTATTTTCACTATCCTCATCATTATCATCACTATTGCTACTAATCTTTCCAGATATAATATCTAAAGAATCGTAATTTTCATCTTCAGTCCACTCTTCCTCTCCACTACAACTTTCCTCTATTTCTTCACTACTACTATCGTCTTTCTTGTAATTGCTTTCATCCTTGTTGT